ATATAGATCCTTAAAGTTTGTATTTTCTTATGATTTATTATAAGATTTACAACATAAAAATTGATTTTCTCTTTAATATTAAAAAAAAAAAATTGATTTTCTGAAAATCTTTTTTTTTAGTCAATTTTCTCAGCACCTAGCCCATGTGATATTGATATTCACTGCTATATTTATGAGAATGACCGGATTCCTTTGGGAGGGAGGTTTGGGTCGCGAATTATGGTCTGTCGCAGCTGAGTAAGCGATTGTTGATGTAGGTCCCAAATAGGTTTCCAAAGAGTTTATCTTCCTTCTCATTATCACCTTTATTAAGTTAGTGATTACTGCTTGTGGAAATTCATTCAGGTCATACTCCCTCCTTTGATTATCCGGAATTGGGTTTATTCCGGTTGATGGTATCACGAGGCGCATCAACATGCTTAGCATCTTTTCGATCTGTTGACTCTACGTCAACTAGAAAGAATTTGAGTATTTCTATTTGTACACACACGGGCATAGAAAACCAATCAGATTACACATTCAGACATGGACGTTATTTATAGGTTTGGCCCGAGTTAAGCTTAATTTAGGCCGAAATTTGTAATTTCACCCTTGCGCTTTATTTCGCGACAATACGACATTTCCATCAGCTAAATTTAGCATTAGTTGCCGCGATGATTTATTACAAATTACAGTATATTTTTTAAGAAACAATAACAACTATAATATAAACGTATACTTTTAATTAAAGATAAAAAGCCATCCTGTGCTGAACTCATATTTAAGTGTTAGAATTTTTGATTCATAGAAACATACAAGATTTTGTTAAATTTTAATTCCATGTTAAAACAAGTATTCATAATGAAGATTGCTTTTAACAATTAAGTCGTAAACATGTTGAGCATATTCAATTTCTTCATCATCATAGATCGCTTTGTCGAATCATGTGCCATTTCTGTTTTTTATTTATAATAAGTTAATATATGAAAAGAAGATTAATTGAAAATAATGAAACATACATATACCAATAATTTATATCTGGGCTGTCAATTTTAAACCCCATATTTTCAGCCTTTCTTTTCTTTCTTAAACTCTATGTTGACGTCTCAAATATTTTCTCAAATTTTTCTCTTCTCAAACTAAATCATTAATACAATCTTTTTCCAGTTATGTTCTTAATTAAATCATAAAGAATCCTTGATTCTTTGAGCCAAACTTTTTAGTAAAAAAAATGTCATATCATTCAGAATTAGGTATGCATGCCTTATCTCAAGCTTTATAGGTAGAATTTGTAGCTTTGTAAAAAGACTTTACGGATTTTTCTGGATTCCTAATTATGAACGTTTGTTTAAATTTTGAAAGAATTTCCTTGGATTTTAATGAATTTCCTTCTAGATTTCCTTCAAATGCATTTAAAAAGTTGGATACATGATCTTTCACAAAAAAACTCTTAAGGTATGTATTTTATTATCATTATCATTAAGAGTAGGTGAGAAATGATGTACAAAAATGATCGGATCAGTAGGTCTAGGTAATGGAATTTGATTCAAAATTCAAAGGTTTGGTCTTCATGGATAACATGGAATTCTTGAGAGAGTTGAAGAAATAGTCGTTCAAAACCCGTAGAAAGAGACTTCGGATGGGACCAAAGAATAATGAGTCTTTGATCCGCTATTTTTAAATGAGCAAAATTCAATTTTATCCAATATTTTTACCGATTTGTGTACTAAATCTGTCATGTACATTTTTAGGGATGTTAATTAGTCCGATTCAGATTATAAAATCAAAGATCGATGACTAATTTATTCATTTACACAACTACCAGTATCTTAGATCAGATCGATAGACCCATTTAAAAAAAATAAGTTCTGTAACAGCTGTTACATGCATAACTTAACAGTTAACTGCATAATACTCAGCCCCTAGTACTGGGCTTAGGTTATATGAAAATAACCTGCTACGGTAAATTCATTCATAATATAAAACAAAATGGTTTATATTTAGAAATTTTATTTTACATAAATAGATTCGTATTTATATAAGGACAAAATAAAAAATGCAAATCTTAATGGAGAAATCGGGGAACTGCGTTAGTCATGCATAATTATGTAGATATAATTTTACGTACCAATTATACGTGCCATCAAAAAAGTCATTTAGAGTTTCTCTGCATAAGTCATGCTTGGAGGTCATCACTTGGCTAGACCACTACTAGACGCTAATTATTATCAAATTCTTATTACAAATAAAACTAAGACAAACTAATAAAAGAATAGTAACGATAGTCAAAAGCTTTCCCATTAAATAGCTGCGGGAAAAAGGTTAATTAAGGTAGATCGCGTCCTATTTAAACAAACACATTATTACGTATTTATATTACCCACATGAAAATCATTATTGTTAATTTCTAAATACAGTAGGTAATTTAATACATACTCCTTAACGTTACGTCTGTACTGTACGTAGGTAGTATAAATTTAAATATAAATTTAAATCATTTATGAGGGAATCCATTTTTAAGATCAAAAAAAAAAAAAATTTTTTTTTTTTCTCGCACGTACGTACGTATTCGAAAAAAAACAAAATGCTAAAGATTTACAATAGTTTATTTCGTAATAAACAATTCACAAAATTCGAACAAGTTAATGTAACAAATAATCATCAGGATGTAATTGACGTTAAAAAGGATAAGCATCATGCTTGTTCTTGTGACCAGAAATTTAAGAATGAAAATGCCGACAAAATATTTCATCTTGGTTATTGTTATGAAAATGGAATAGGATTTAAAAAAGATGAACGAGAAGCATTTATTCATTATCAAAAATCCGCAGATATGGGTCATACAAAAGGAATATATTATCTTGGTAATTGTTATTTTTACGGAACTGGTGTTGATAAAGATGAATTTAAAGCGTTCACAAATTATCAAAAATCAGCCGAGATGGGATTAGCTGTTGGAATGAATGATCTTGGATATTGTTATCGAAATGGTATTGGTGTTGAAAAGGACGATCACAAAGCATTTATTTATTATCAAAAATCTGCTGAAATGGGATGTAGTGATGGAATGTATAATCTTGGTGATTGTTATGAAAACGGAATAGGAGTTAAAAAGGATTATCGTAAAGCATTTATTGTTTATCAAGAATCCGCAGAAATGGGAAATGCTGATGGAATAAATAGCCTTGGATATTGTTATCGAAATGGTATTGGTGTTGAAAAGGACAATCACAAAGCATTCATTAATTATCAAAAATCTGCAGAGATGGGAAATGCTAATGGGATAAATAATCTTGGATATTGTTATCGACATGGGATTGGGGTTAAAAAGGATGATCATAAGGCATTTGTATATTATCAAAAATCAGCAGAAAAGGAAAATGCTAGTGGAATATATAATCTTGGTGATTGTTATCGACACGGAATAGGAATTGAAAAGGATGATCATAAGGCATTTATTAATTATCAAAAATCTGCCGAGATGGGAAACGCTAGTGGAATAAATAGTCTTGGATATTGCTATGGAAATGGGATAGGTGTCGAAAAGGATGAACATAAGGCATTCATTTATTATCAAAAATCTGCAGAGATGGGAAATGCTGGCGGAATATATAATCTTGGAGGTTGTTATCAATATGGAATAGGTGTTGAGAAGAACGAGCGTAAAGCATTCATTTATTACAAAAAATCTGCAGATATGGGTAATGTTGACGGGATATCACAAATTGGGCATTGTTATCTAGGTGGAATTGGTGTCGAAAAAGACGAATATAAGGCATATATTTACTTTCAAAAGTCAGTTGGAATGTGAATTTATCACAGTTAGCAAAACGTAATTATATAGTTGAGTGTCCTGCGTGAAATTACGATAATATATATATAGACAGATAGATAGATTTTTTTTTTATACAGTTGTTATTTTTTAAAATTTTCATATTAGTTTTTTATATATATTTTTTTTGAATTTACCCTTAATACTTAATATTATCAGTTCAAATATTGTAAATAAAAATAGTCCTTAAATATTGAAAATCATGATTAAGTTTCGTGTAAATAATAAGCTAAGATCAACTTTTAAGCAGAAAATTTTGATATAGCGAAGAAATTTTTGACCTCGCAAATGTATTTGTCATATAGGTTTATCTTCTAATATCCGAATATTTCCATATACCGAAGACATTAGGTTATCCCATGGACTTCACTATATCGAACTACAAGCTTTGCGAATGTACTCATATAATATGAAACCACCTACAAATTTTATTAAAAAGCTAGATAAATGGTTGCAATGGAAACCTGTAAATAAGTTTTTATTGTACCAGACTTAGATTCGGAAAATTATGATATGAATTACATAATTGAACATTCTGGTCGTCTGAAACATATAATAAATAATACAGCACGTGTGTACATTTAAAGTGCTGTCAAAACGATTAGTAAACTGATTGTAATCTGTTTCAATTACGTAATTCATGTAATAACTTTGAGTTTAAAGTCCGGTACACCCGAAATTTATATTTGTATTTACATGTTTCGCTTGGTCATATAGTAGAGATTGTAAAACAGTAATACTAATAATAGTGATATAAAGTTGTGAAACATTTGATGTCATGAGCTGTATAAAAATTTTTGTTTTTTTAAAAATAGATTTTTTTTTTTTTTATCTTTCATTATTATTATGTGTAAATTTATGTAAAATTCGTTTTTTGTAACAATTACAACAATGTAACGCACAAACAAATGTGCATGATTTTAACAAAAGATTTGCTATTGATTAATATGGAGGTACAGAATTTTATGTATTTTATGTAATTGTAAAATCCTTGATTGGTGCATTTAAGCTGTAATAAAAACTGCTTCCGATAATAAATATCATGGTAGTAACGCACACCGTTCTAAATACTTTTTTTTTTTTTTTAAATATAAAACTATTCACATAAAATTATCATAATTCTAATTATTTGAAGGCAGAAATAAATAAATTTATAGCCTTATTATCGTTGCACATAAAACCATAAACGATGGACTCAAATAATAGAATTCTTAATCCTACAATCCAGTTAGAAAAATCCGATGAAAACAATTCTTCAATCGTTACTGACATAAACAGTAGTCTAACGCACAATAAGCGCAGGAACACCAGACTACTAACTTATAGTCGACAAATTCAAGCAGACGATGACGATGATGATGAATTTGATACTCCCGTTAATATTTATCGCGAACATAAAAATCATTTAGAACAAGATAAAAGAGTTCGTAAAGAATTGGATACACAAATATTTGATGACCTTTATGAACCTATTCAAAAAACTTTTGCGCATAATTCAAAATTTTTAACGTCGAAAGACGGTGATATTCCTTCTGGTGACAAAGGAATTATCATGACTGGCATATGGAATTGTAATTATAATGGAATATGTTAAAATTATAATTTTTTTTTAGAAAATTGAATTAAATTAATTAAATTAGTTTTAAATATGTCTTAATTTAATTTTAACATATATGTAGAAACTTACTAATTTTAATATGTATTTATAAAAGTCTAATGTGTTGTAAATATCAATACCGAGCATAGATATGTTATCAAATGGTAATATTATAATATACTGCATTCTGGACATTTATATTATTCGCATTATTACTATTATCTTATGACCGATATTTTAAATAAAAAATATGAAAAAAATAAAAAATAAACTTTAAAGTGAAAGAAAGAAAATTATAACTGTCACTGAAACTTACACTATTGTTATATGGCTCTCTATTGGTTGATACTTTAATTGCCGGTCAATTAATAAGCGTGAACTCAATCACTATTTGAATTTGATAAATGTTCCTTTTTTATCGTAATGATTTAGAGTTGGGTATGTGCTATGATAGTTTCTGTGATAGTAAAAATAAATTTACTGCTAATTCTTATTATTCGTATCATTTATTATTCCATTATATACGATCTTATCCTTTGGTCTCAATAAGTACAAAACTTATAATTGTAACCGTTATTTCTACATGCAAGTAATATCTTATTGATTTTTTTATACAACGTAAACGATACGTACATACAAAGCATGTCATATAAGAAGTGGCGGGCTGACATGTGATCAAAATCACGTTGCTATAAGGTTTTAACGCATTCCTTTGATATATAGAAAAATATAATTACAAAAATTGTAGCAATAAAAACGTAATCATAAAAAACAGTCAATACAAGAAATGAAATAATAATTACAATAATTACAAATTTAAAGCGGTTCAAAAACTGATAATATGTCAGTAAATTACGTAGTTTTATCAGCAGATATTATATGATAGTTCTTAAAATTGTTCTGTGCTGCTACAGATAAAAAATTTCAATCCTTCTCGTTTCTATCACGCATTTGTTTATAAACTATTAAAATCTAAACAATGAGTTCAAAGTTTCTTAACGACATGGCCGAAGATTATAAACAACTTTATGAAACTAGGGAAAATTATGATGTGATTATTTACACCGGTGAAGAACCTAATTCTGAAGAAATTCATGCTCATTCTTTGGTACTTCGTACTAGATCAACTTATTTTCGTGGGGCTCTTGCTTCTGATTGGGCAATAAAAGATAAAGATAATGGTTGTTTTTCTTTCAAAAAACCTAATATCTCTTCATCAATCTTTGAACTTATCCTTAAGTAAGTAGCAAAATAAATTATAATAATAGCTTATATTAAAAAAAGTAATAATAATAATTTTTAAATATCATAAACAGATTTCTATATTGTGGGGAAGTAGATATTCAAGATCAAGAAGGAGAAACGATCTTAGATCTTTTGATTTCTTCGGATGAACTTGGTCTTACATCACTTATTGACCATGTTCAACAATATTTTATTGCAAATCAGAAAAGCTTTTTACAACAAAATCCTGTAGGCATGCTTCATATGGCCGCTCGTCATGAAACATTTAATGAGATTGGAAAGTTTGCTTTGGAGACTATTTGTGCAAGCCCTGACATTTTATTTGATTCAAATAATAAGTACCTTTCATTAGATGAAGATATGTTAATACTAATTCTTAAGCATGATGGGCTTGAAATGGAAGAAAGTGAAATTTGGGAACGATTAATTAAATGGGGAATTGCTCAGAATACTGAGCTTAAGGATAATGTGACTGAACTTAATCAAGATGATTTTAAATTATTGGAGAAAACATTAGAACGATGTATTCAATATATTAGGTTTCATGAAATTAGCATGCCAGATTTTTATCATAAAGTATTCCCATATATGTCTATTCTTCCACATCATCTATATGATGATATTTTACGCTGCTATATGGTTCCTAACGCAGTACCTCTTTATAATGAATTTCCTCCTAGGAATAGTATTAACTCAATTTTGGTTAAAAGACGCCACGCACTATTATTTGCAAGCTGGATTGATAGAAAAGATGATCATTATAAAAATACGCTTCCTTATAAATTTGTTCTTTTATTCCGTGGCAGTAGTGATGGCTTACAGAATAATATATTTCATCAAAAATGTGATCAAAAAGGTGCAACATTTGTAGTGGCAAAGATTCAAAATTCAAACCAACTTGTTGGTGGTTACACTCCAGTTGATTGGGATAAAAGCAACAGAAATAAGAGTTCATCTGATAGCTTTATCTTTTCATTAAATGATCCCAATAATTTATCAAATGCTAGTTTAGGACGCATTTCATCCCATTCTTACGCGATATATTGTCATAGTGGTCATGGACCAAATTTTGGTAGTGGGGATTTACATCTTAATGGAAATTATGTATATGCTAATGGTAATGGATATTATCCCAGTATTGGCACTCCAAATGGTTCACAAATTGAGGATTATGAAGTGTTTCAAGTAATTAAAAAGTAGTTCCCGTTTTCTGCACTAGTTTCAAAGTAAGTAATTTTCAGCGCTATATTTTTAGTAGACTTTCCGGCTTAATAAATTTTTAATACTATGTTCAATTATTTAGTAGTTTTTCTTTTTCTTTTTATTTATTTATTATTATTATTATCAATTTTTTATAAATTCGGAGCAATAAACATTATCTTTGAAGGAAAAACATTAAGAAAATTCTTGTACTATACGATACATTAAGTTGCGTTCATTTCAATTATAAACTGCCAATAGCTAGCAGGGGCACCGAAAATTGAATTGCAATTATCATAATGAGATCAAATAATTGCAATTAATTGCCTTCACAATCAATTATTCGGTACCCCTGATGGCTAGAATCGACGAACTACGTGTGTGAAATAAATTAAATCATGCATCATAATTATTTTTGTACTTATATCCATAAAAATTTGAGCTTTAATTAAGTAACTATTTAGTCCCAGAAAATTACCGAATCTGAAATAGACATCCTCAAGAGGGCCTTTCATATATCATTTGTACAATCTATTATAAAACAGCTGCAAGATTTATTGCGATGAAACTAGAAAAAAGAGTTAATTTACGGCTATTGAAATGGTTGAATCGTGTTATTTATATATACGTACAGTAGTATATATTATACATTTCACATATCACGGTGAAACTTGGTCGCGCGAGCTCCCTCGAGCCATGTGATAAGAATTCATTTTAGATTATATACTAGATTTTATTAAAACTTTCTTAATCGAATAGTTCACCTCGCGTGAGATATGATGTCGTCGCGCGAAATTGCGGGCGTGGTAGTTTTGTGCGAGGTACATTTAGGGCTTTTTGTCCCTCATCGAGGGGGTGTTACTGATGGAAAACAATTGAAAACGATTCAAAAACAATCAGAACACAATTGGACATATGAAAAACAATTATGGGTTATCTGTCCCTTCCGCTATGTGCTAAAGTATACATACATACTAACAATACAGACTTCGAAAGTATCGTATAAAGAAAACCTATGCTATTATGGAGTACTATTGGCAGGCAGGGTAAAAAAAACCAGTATCATACTGGAAAAAACCCCGTCGCAACCAAATTCTATGTGACTGTCGTCTCGACAGGCCACTCTTTTTACCGAACTTAAAATACCTGTGACTGTCATCCCGACAGGCCACCCTTACTTAACAAAATCAAAAAAGTGGCTGTCGTCCCAACAGGCCACTTATGATAAAACTTATAACAACTGTCATTCTGACAGGCCGCTTACTATAAAAAACTCCAAAGTGACTAACGCTCCGACAGGCCATGATTTCTCTCAGCAACGCCTATCGATTTGATAAGGCAAGCTTCAACGAATGCATTAGGGGTGGGTTAGCAGAAAAAACAGAACTTACCCTTCTTGGGAAAAAACCTGTTCCCTTAAAATACTACTAATGTTTACTAATCGTAAGAATTACGTTATTGCGTCATAAATCAAACAATGGATCAAACGAATCATACAATAAATCATAACAATGCAAAAGACTACAAATCATACGATATGCCATTCAATAAATCAAGCACCTTACCCAATCCTTAATATACCCCGTGACCGGTTCGGGACAAAATGCTGCTCCGATACTTTCGTATCGGGCAGCTAAAAAGCCCACTCACCCGCCAACCCGGGAACCGATATTTACTGTGGTTATCCGGAATAATATATAGTTATTGTATGCGAAGAAGCCAATAACGGAAATTATTTGTAAAATAATTTCATTATCTGGCTGTGAAATTTAATATGTCAGCTTCTAGCCCCGAAGGGGCCCAGAAATGATATATATTAAATTCGTTGCCAGATAAACAAGTTATTAGCCGAGTACAGGTAAGAACGTTGATGTTATACGACTGATTTTTCACACGGTGTGCAACATATAAAAAAATAATTTTACAATA